ACAATGTATAATGATTTTAACTATTAACAACATCCAATTAAATAACTGAGGAGCTCCGCTTTTAGGCCTGTCTAAATCTATATATTATCTGTATCTACACCGTCAACAAGGCTGGTATTAACCAAATCACAGTGTATGTTTAATATATCTGTGTCTTGACTCAAATTGGGCAATCTTGCTCTAAATTGTTAACATTTTTCAGAATCACTTTGTCGAAGCCAATAAGCTCATGAAAATTTGATCCAGTCAGGTCAAGTTGGTAATTTGTTTTCAATTTTATTAATACTCTGAATGTGCTGGTTTGAAACTCTAACGTTATCGGATACTCATCCTCATCGCCGTCACTTTTTATTGCAGTTTCATCTTTTAAAAACGCGTTTAGATTAACATAATTATAAACACCAACTGGAAATGTAAGTTCTTTCCAAGATGACCCATTATCTAAGCTGTATTTTATTTTCTGATTATTGTAACCAGGATTGACGTTGAACCACGTGAATGACATGTTTATTATTCTGTTCAAACCAATCACATACTCATGATTACTGTCCAAAACAATTGGTCTATCAAAATTGGTTACAAAATTGGCCGGTTTATTATTCGCACTACTTACGTTCAAATAACTTGATAATACAATTTCTCGTTCCATTATAATACAATTGGCGGCTAAACTTTTTACGATGTGAGCGCTCGCTCGAAAAAATCTCGCCTGCTCTGCAGGCTACTATTTCACCAACGATGATCTCCAATATTTTAAGAAGTTGTTTGGGATCGTTGAAAAACATAACGTTTTCACCCTTCTTTCGAATTGCAGATCCTTTCATCGATTTCACTTTGGTTTTATAATAATTTATGTACTGGCCCAACACAGCATTTGCATTCTGTATTCTTTTCCGATTCTCTTGCCTTTCAGCTTCAGATATTGCTCCACTTTTGAACTGTCTTGTGACAGCTGACTGATAACCTTTCAATTGATTGCGTCTTAATTCCGCTTCTTCTATTTTTAAGATATGCTTTACTCTTTTGTGGCGTCATTTCGGGCTGATTTAATATCTTTTGCACATTATCATAATTTGTTGTACCAATATCATCTAGCTTCTTGTTAGCCATGTCTTCATCAGCTATCTCATAATCAGGTACTTCATCCTCATCATATTCTGGAGGTAAATCTTGTGGCGAATATTGAGGATCAACATAAATCTCTTTTTTACCGTCCAAAACATCTTTCAACGATTCTTCATACGTTGGTGTTTCGGTACTATTTGTTTGGTATTTTCTGGTAAAACAGGTTGATCAAATAAGGCCCGGTTCAAACGTCGAACTTTCATGAGCCAAACCTAATAGCCCCAATTTTGAATCAATTAAGTTCGACTCATGTTCTTTGGATCGACCCGAGAATAAACTTCGACATGGCCAGTCGGTCAGTTCGACTACGGAGCGACTCCGATTCAAACGTCGAACTTTTCATGTACCGAACCTAATGCATACATTACAAATACATTAAATAAATTAATTTTTACCCAGAGTTCTGCATGTTTCCCATTTTGTCATGCGTACACAGCTTGTTTTGATCTTTTGGAACAAAATGGAGGGAAGAGCGGGTAGATATGTGTTCCTGTTGCTTTGAGAGCACAAAATATACTCGCTTGATGTGCATAAACCACTTCTGTTTGCGGTGTTCCGTATTTGAAAGCGATAAGAGTGTAGCGGGTTGGAAAGCAGGCAGTCCGGTAGCGTACTGCGAGTCATGTTTTTGAGAGAAAATGACAAAATGAATCTTGAAGAAACCGACGACAGGAACGAATTGAACTGGACGAGACTCGTCACAGTGGAACTGTGATGTTCCTTTGGGAATAAGCAGTAGTAGAAGGCAAACCAAATTCAAAAATCGTCTTCGGTTGTCAAAGGCTAACTGCATCTGGAGTCGCCTTCTTCGACTTGTGCTACCCTCCTTGATCGCACTTACAAGAAAAGCAAGCTCTTCATTTCCACAATTCGTCTTTCCCACACTGTTTCTGCCATTTTGGTCAGCAATAACCGCCGTTTGCATTAGTGTCTCTTTTATTTTTGCAATTAAGTTCCACTAAATAAGGTTCGACGTTTGAATCAACTGCCGAACTTAATTATTTGGGTCGACCCAAATTGGTATAAGGTTCGGCACATGTAAAGTTCGACGTTTGAGCCGGGCCTAAGTCACCCAGATTCATATCTTCAACCTCATCTTCAATATTAATAGCTGGTTTTCACATGACGTCACTAAAATTCGAACTACAAAACTATTGACCTTCTTGAGATTTTACTTAAATGATGCATAAGAGCAGCTGAAAACTAATATTCATACAAATTTTCGCTCCGAATGGGTTCTTGGTTTTGTGATACACTACGCTTAAATTTCTAAGCTTTTGCGTGACGCGGCATTTACATGACGGCCTGGAGAGCTGTAATGATGGTTAAAAAAGTGACTTATTTCGGGGAACTTGGCTATCTGAACAGTTCATGTATTATTTTAATGTTTTAGAGTTCCTCGAGGGATAAATTCACGCTTTTGTAGCAAAACTCAGTGTCAGATGTTTCTGTTGGTTTCCGGCCGCCATGTTGGTGCCCATACGGATGGGCACCAGCATGGCGTCTCCATACAAATCTCTATAAATTTGGGTAAAAAATTTCTTCGCATATCTCGCATAAGAAAAATTGCTGTGACCAGAATTTTGGCGAGAGTCTGCATATTTACCTTCTTTCATTTCCCAGATTCTGGACTTTATCTACTGACCGGTTTTAATTTTTATTTTGATCTATTTTGAATTGCGTGACACTGAAAACCAGCAGTACCATAACCTGGTACACCTTCCTTCTTCTTCGTCCTTCGCCTCATTGGTAGTATTTTCAAATTTCTAGCCACAACATCATCTAATTTGGTTGTAATCGGTTTGAACATCTTACTGAAAGATTTATGACTTGTCTGTTTATCAATATCACTTTGTAATATCGTATTACGAACATAATCGATTTTATTTCCCAGTTCAGATTTCTTTTTCGCAATTTCTTTCCACTTTAGTAAACTCATTATGATATTACATTGGATAAAACACCGTAGTACTAAAATTATATACTGATATAATATGAAAATATCAAATTATGATATCAAAGAGGATGTCGGTAACTATAAACAGTTATACCAATTTGTGCCTGACCGTTGCTTTCGGATGCTAATTTGTGGCCCATCAGGCTCAAGAAAAACGAATTCATTGCTTCATGTGATAATGAATTTATTGTACTTCGATAAATGTTATCTATATGCGAAAAATCTCGAACAATCAAAATATGAATATCTGATGAAGACTTTCACACCAATAAGTAAAGAAGTCGGTTGTAATATATTGGAAGTTAGCAATGATGAAATAAAACCTGTATCAGAAATGAATGGCGAAAATAAAAAGTTAGTCATATTTGACGGCTTTGTTTGTGAAAAGAACCAAGCCCCATTAATCGATTATTTCATAACAGGAAGACATAAGAATTGCAGTGTGATATATCTAAGTCAGAGCTATTATAAAACTCCAAAGGATATTAGACTTAACTGTAGCCACTTCTGTATATACGAATTTCCATCAGCAAATGAAAAATCACTCTTATGCCGTGAAAACAACGTTGACAAAAAGTTGTATGAGCAAGCTACCAATGATCCATACAGCTTCCTGTACATAGATAAACCACGAAAATTTACCGCCAAAAATTTCAACGAGAAATCGTATTTTATAATATAACTCAATTGTATGTGTCTTACTCGAACGGAATATTAGGCTGGTCAGGTGAAGTTGCCTCACTTGAAACAGTAATAGTGAAGGGTGAAAAAGGAGACTCTGGAATAGGTTTTAAAGTAACTTCTGATGGCAATTATGATTTACAAAATAAGAAAATGTTCAACTTGGACACACCTGATGATCACAAGGTTGATGATGATTACAACACAAGAGCCAGAGATCTCAAGAGTGCTGTTAACAAAGAGTATTTGAATGATAAATTTCTGAAGAAAGATGAAAATGGTAATCATTTTGATTTGAAAGGAGCAGTGATTACAAATTCAGAACCGTATTATGATGGGTTACATGATGATGATGATCTTGTTCCCAAAAAATATGCTGACACAGAAAATGCAAAACAAGATATTGCTATTGCAGATAAAACCAACAAGGCTTATGTTGACAACGCTGATACGGCTCTTCTGAATAACATCAATGGACAAATCAAGCATTGTCTGAATTATCAGATAACGTTGAACAAGTGGATAATAAAAAATTGAATATTCACAGTGGAAATTCTATGACTGTTGATCTTGATATGGGGAATAACAAAATCATCAATTTGAAACCGCCAGTAACAAAAGATAACGCTGCTTCAAAAGAATATGTGGATGTTGAAGTATCGAAAATTAGTAGTGGATAAAAGAATTCATTACCGCTTGATGGTTCAAAATCAATGACTAGTTATTTGAATATGAACAATAATAAAATTATCAACTTAACCACTGAGAGAACAACAACAATTCTGCAACAAATATCGATTGCGTCAATAAAAAAATAAATGAATCACACATCACTAATTCTAACAGTAGAAAAGATGTTTTCCAATACCTTATGGATGATGTTAATGAATCTTTGTGTGAAAACAATATAATTGTTGATGGAATACAAGATTATGCTGCCTCTCCTCATGACATCAACAAGA